TATTATTATTATTATTATTATTATTATTATTATTATTATTATTATTACTACTACTACTACTACTACTACTACTACTACTACTACTACTACTATTTTCTGTAAATAGCATGCAAAACTACTGTGGGACTTCCGAATACAGACTGACAAAGTTTTGGAACACAATACCCCGGATATCACGATTGTGGAGAAGAAAAAAGTGTGGATCGTCGACATTGCCATACCTGGTGACAGCAGAATCGACGACAAACAACTTGAACAAGTCACCAGATATCAGGACTTGAGAATCAAACTGCAGAGACTCTAGCATAAACCAGTGCAGGTGGTTCCAGTGGTAATCGGCACACTGGGTGCTGTGCCTAAAGACCTAGGCAAGCACTTAAAAACAATTGGCACTGACAAGATCACCATTGGTCAGCTGCAGAAGGCCACCTTACTGGGATCTGCTCGCATAATCCGCTGATACATCACGCAGTCCTAAACACTTGGGAAATGTTCAACTAGTGATTTGTGATATGAAACCCAGCATGGTTATCTCGTTTGCTGTGTATACTGTCATTTTTGTGTATAATAATAATAATAATGACTTAATTATTATTAATACAGACAGATCATAATTTGGAACAAGATGCCAGATATCACAGTTGATGAAAACCAAACCGTACAATTTACTGATATCACTGTACCAGGAGACACTGGAGTCAAAGAAAAAGAACTGGAAAAAATTATAAAAGATTGGAATCTGGCCAATGAAACTACGCGATTATGGATGAAACATGTAACAATTGTTGAGGTAATTCCCCATTAGGAGAATGAGTGCACACAGGGAGACGTAGTGAGAGTGGTGAAGAATAACACACAACCAGCACACAGATACACTGTATAGTAAAATGTAGGTTTTTACTTCCAGTAAATGGTTAAGCAAAGTCCAACAAAGTCCAAGTCATACACGGTTATAGCAGTCAGTATTCAGTCTAGGGATAATCCAAATAACAAAGTCCAGTATCATAAACAGTTCAGTAACAGACTTACATCAAATCCAAGAATAACGACGATCAGTAACAGTCAATAGGGAAAAATGCAGGAACCAAAACACTCTCTGGGAAACCAGGTTTCTGGCTCCATCTTATGGCCATTTGAGGAACCATACCCAATTACAATTGTAGCATTCCCTTAAAGAGAC